GGGGGGGGTGTTGGTGGATATTTCAGAATATTTTGTGCAACAGGGAGCAGGCTTATGACAGCTGAACAATCAACATTTATGATTGATCTACATCAAATTGGAATGATGCTCAGGTATACCAAGAGAAAGGCTAATGGGGATATATCCAATACATTGAACATAGAGCGATGCCAGGCGAAATCTGTATAATCTCCTAGTCTTTGGACTATTGTGCAGGATGATCCTCTCTTCTATATTACTTGCTTATTTTATAATTGCAGATTTTCTTCTGAATGCTTGTATCTGGACAATTAAATATAGATGGAGGGTTCCAGGAAATTTTTAGTTTACTAAAAGAACAGTATATATATTAATGTTCAAAAAACCTGCAGGCATGCTACTTCGCGATCTCTCTGTCTGGTGGATGAATTTGGTAAAGGCACTCTTACAGAAGGTCAGTTTATCCAATGTTTATCGTGTTTAAATTATAAATACATGGAAGATGTGTGTGTATTGCAGATGCTAGTTTTTAGCATAAATGTTTTGATTTTCCTTTCAGATGGCATTGGTCTACTTGCTGGGACCGTAAATCACTTTGTCACGTGTGATGAACCTCCAAAGGTAAGACTTATATTCCTGAAAATATGAGTAATATATATTTTAATTCAACTTTTCAGGAATTATCTTATCATTTTCTTCGCAGCATGCTTTTAACTTCTTCACAGCATTTTGCCGTGATTGAATATCTGTGTTTCGAGTTGCCCTCATAAACTCAATTCTGTCTGACCCCTTTACAAGTCTGTTTTTGTTATTTCTATTATGGTCAAGGTTCGTTTCATATGATTGTATATTTATGCACTAATCAAAGTTCATTAATCACCAGAATAGAAGTTAAAAGTTCATTAATTTATCTCTGTTGAAAATTAAAAAGTAACTCAAGTAGTTTTTGTAATTTATCAACCATCAGTTTTACTAAGGATGTTGTTATTGAAGACAGTATCCCTGGGAATTTTATTAAGCGGAAGAGGAAGTATTAACTATTAATACAGACCCTTCAGTCAAATTGTAATTGAAATGTATAATCACAGAACTTGTGAAATGACTATATGCAGCTTGTCAGAGAGATTGTAACAAATCATTGTTCTGCGAATTTTGTAGGTTTTTGTGTGCACTCATCTCATGGATTTATTGCATGGGCATTCCTTGACCAAGGTTATGCAGTTTTGCTTGTGCATCATTGTGAAGTTGATGTTTTTAAACACCTCAGTTGAGTGATCATAAACATAATTCCTTTGGACTATTTCAGTCTGAGCAGATTAAGTTTTACACAATGAGTATACTGAGGCCGGACGACAATTCCTCACGTGTTGAAGACATTGTCTTTTTATACAGGTAGCTTTTTGTTGATTCCGCCACGCAGCATGCTAAGAATTATATTTACCATCATAAGGTCATTTGGTGTCAAAGAATTTGATAGGAATCAAGAAGGCTAACGTACTTGATCAGACAATTTAACCAAAGTAAAACATTTTTAGTGAAAGACTCTGGAAATGGAAAACTTTCATATTATTGCGATCAGAATACAATTAAAGTGTACTTCTATCTGAGGATATTTCATCTTGTTATTATCATATTCCTCGCAGGCTTGTCCCTGGGCATGCACATCATAGCTATGGTATGCTTTTGCTTTAGTAATACATTTTCTAACACGATTAAGATAAATGTTAGCAAGACTCTCTTTGATATATTATTTCATGAGTTCTAATAAATTTCAGTAAAAGGAAAGTGTGTTTAAAAGATTGTTAGAGTAATGTTACCAACATTTTTCATTATATCAATTGAACTACCAATGAAAATGACGTGCGTGGTTTTGGAATCCTGCAGGACTGCACTGCGCTCTGCTTGCTGGTAATTTACGAAACCGCTGTTTAAAAATGATATTTCCTGATCAATAAAGCATGTTTTATTTTCCACTCTTATTTTTTTTCATTAGAACAAGCTGCGCTGTTCATGCAGGTGTACCAGACGAAATCATAAAAAGAGCAGCAGCAGTGTTGGATGCCGTTTCAAACAATGATCATGTTGAGCGGTTATGCAATGAGAATATCTCTGCTCAAGATCGTCAATACAAGGTGTCAGTTCAATTTCAAGAGTCAAATTACAGCTTTGGATATTGTTTACTCTCTCAGCCATGTTCATTTATATTACTGAATGGAATGCAGGATGCCATGGAGAAATTGTTGGATTTCGATATTGACAAAGGCGACTTAAAACTTTTCTTTGAGGATATATTTTTAATGCATCGTGACTGAAGTCTTATGTTTGTCGTTTTTGTTAAGAATTCTTTATTGAGATGCCATTTGTCATCATATCATATGACTCTATCAAGATGAGTTGCGTACTTATTATATTTTACTGTATTGAGCGATCCTTCTTGTAGAATTATATATTTCCTATAGCTTTGACTCTTATATTGGTTATCAACGAGTAAGTCTAATGTATTTGGCTCCTTCAGAAGTATTTCAGATAAGCATAATAATAACAACAGTTAAAAATTAATGATTAATTTTATAATTAACTTTAAATTTTATTACATTTATATTTAAAATTTAAACTCTAATATAATCATTGTAATTTTAATAAATGAAAAAAAAATTTATTTAGAATTTGTTTAGCAAATCATTTAAAAAATTAATAAGTTCATTTGATTAATTTATAAGTTAATTTACTCAAATTAAGTTATTTTAAGGTGTCTTAGTAAAACTAATTTATAAGTTAGTTAGAAGTTTGTAAGTTATAAGTTAGAAATTGAAAATTTGAAAGCTTATAATTTAATCGACTAAATTGAAAGTGTTAAGTAAGATTAATTAATAAGCAACTTAATTAATATAAAATGATTTATTTATTTATTATAGTAATGAGAGTGAGAAAATAGTATACAAGTAAAATGATTTCTAAATTAAAAAAGAGTAAAATAAATCATTTAAGATGAATTAACTCTAATTAATGTAAAAGTCATTCTCTCATCATCAAATAAATGTATCATTTTATACTAATTAATTAATTTATTAATTAATCTTATCAAATATTGTCATTTCACTAATATAGATTAGAACATGTAGTAGTAAGTTATGTTTGTTTAATTTTTTAGCTAGCTTATAAATCAATTTTATCAAACATGTCCCTAGCGAATTATATTGAAGTTTTTAATTATTGATTTTCTAATCAATGATTGTAAATATATTTTATTTTTTAAAATGCACTTCCTCATTAGAGAATAAACACATCCAAAAATTAATATATCGAAAGTTCATAGAATAATATATATATAAAAAATAATAATACTTGATTATATGTGATATGAAGATTAATCGGTAATCATATGGTTGAAAACTACTTAATAATTTTTCAAAATTTAGGCATGTATCAGCTGTCTCATGTTAATGGGAGATGTGTAACTTGAAGAGCCATTGAAAAGTCTATCAACAAGTATTCGAGAAGCTGCCTCCGTAGGATGGAATTGGTCAAAGAAGAGGTGATCTTGTCTATTAGGACAAAGGTTTGACAATGGCAGGCAGGTAGCCCTAGCATTCAGCTCGCCTACTCCACAACAAGCACCTTTCACCTCAGTAAATCCTGAAAGGGATTTAAATTTTAAACTTATTTCATAATCCAATTTCATAAAAACAAAACTTAGCATTGTTTGCTAGAGGGAAGAAACAAGAAATAAAAGAGAAAATAAATAAACTTTAAAGTCGTTAGAATTCAAAGAATGAAAACAAAAAATATGAAAGAGGAAGAAAGTTTCTTAATAAAGAAATGAAAAGAGAAAACAATATTTTGATATAAGGGCGTTTTTGTTCTTGTATAAATTTTTATTTAGTAAATATAGTTTAAAAAATAGTATTCAATTTTATTGAAAATTAAATTACAATATTTACATATTTTTAATTCAATAGATAATTTCCTTGTAAAAAAAATTAAATATATAATTTATGATTTATAATTATTTATTGATAATCTTATTTCATGTTTTAAATGGAAATAATTTAAACACGTGTTTAATTTGTTAAATTACACAAATTATTTATAATATTCCAAAATCAACTTGATATTAAAAAAATCGCTCCAAGCAATTGATTTATAAAATTATAAAAGACATATGTATTAATTCAATAGTTATATTCTTCTTATTAAAATTTTTATGCACGTTTAAATTCATTATAGTCACTAAATTAAGAAATTTAAAAAATAAAATTATTTGAAAAAATATAATATTGAATAAATTAAATTTTAAAATATTTTATTTAACACTTTTATTTTTAAATCTTGAATAATTGACTAATGAACATTGACTAAAAACAGTATTATACCAATCAAGTGACATACGTAATCACTTCTCATATTTGTCCACATGCCCTGTTATTAGTTCCGATGATATCTACACTTTTTATAATATAATGATAATGATAATTGATAATGATAAGATAGAGAAGAGTAAGATAAATGACAATAATACCATAGGAAGGTGGACTCTGAATGATGTCGTTGATTGCAGCATAAGTGTCAAAGTAGGAGTAGATTATGCTTCCATTCTCCGATTGCCATTCCTTCAACATGGATCGAAGCCCTTCATTATATTTTTTCGACCAGTAATTCACTTCTTCAACGCATTCCGTTTTGTTCTTTAGCCTGTAAACAGGGACGCATCCAAGTGTCCCAACTCCTGCAATCTCAAATTTACGGGCCCCCTGGTCGTATAATCGCTGCAAAAATAAAAAATAGAGAAGAAAAAAAAGTTACCACTTACCAGGGTAAAATATACGGTAAGTAGTAACTTACGAGAAAGCAACATGCAAAATTATTAAGTCAATGGTTCAAAATTTTATGTTAAAAGTGATGTGATGGGTAGGTAAAACAATTCTCTTAAATTTATTGATTAGTGAAGATTTGTATGCATGCACTTGTCTGTGCGCGTATTAATTAACTTGATTGATTATATTATATTAGCATTAATTATTATGTGATACTACCTGTAGTTGCACTTTTAGTGAGAAAGCCATGGAATCCACATACTGCTGTGGGGTGTTTTTCTTGCGAAGATCCGATGACTCAAAGTACCCAAAGAGATCATTGCTGCCAATCACCAAAACGAAAATTGATTTTGAAAGATGATTCTGAAGATCAGCAGCTCCTACTTCTCGTATCATTTCTTCGTGTACAATTGAATAGTAGTCCACTTGTTTTGTCAACGGTATTGATTGTCCCTGAAATAATAATAATAATAGTAGTAGTAGTATAAGTAGAATTTGACACCAATAATAAGGAATGGCTCAATTGAGAGACTGTAATTTCTAATTATGTTTAAGAAATTATGAGTTATATTGTAAAGTCAATCGCATTAATTTTGGACAGGATTTTGTTATTTAGTATATTTTGAGTCGTTATAATTTTATTTTTGAAAAGACAAATTTAGAGATGAGAATATTTATAAATAATTATTAATTTTGACTTTTAAGCTAAATAGAACTTTTAAGTGTACCCAAATACAGGTTAAATAAACTAAAGTAAATAAAACTGGACTAAAAAACAAAAGAAAAAAAAAAGGGAAATTAAAGGAACTATATTTGGTCACTTACATAACGTTCATCTCTACCATCAAATATTCCAGCACCTGAAGAGGCAAAACTGACACCATCCATGAAGGATGCATTATTTTTGTTGGTCTTTGATTTTAGGGAGAGGTAAGGTGGTGAAGTTGCCAAACCCAATTTTTCAGCTGCAAGCCACACAGTCATTCTATTATTAAAAAAAAAATGTCTCTATATTGTTCCTACAACTGTACTACCACTATATCGTTTTGTTGTTTTTCATAATAACCATATAGGAAACTTTAATAAAGCTATTTTTATAATCAGAAACTTTAAAGTTTTCTTAAGTTTGTTCAGCCAACCATGTACCTCTGAATCTCATGTTAGTGTCTCTTTTATGCTTTTTGAGGTGTGAGTCCACATGTTGTTTTTCTTCTTTATGCATGTTTTCCAGGTGTCAGTCTATCAACTATATATATGAATTTCTTACAGGAGAAGTTAGTATCAATTGCAGCAAACAAATCTGGTTTAATACCAAAAATATTTGTCAGCAACTTATCCTGACCAGTTATAACTTAGAGACTTAGTTAAAAGAAGACTCGTGTATTAAACATATAGCTAGCTAGAAACCAAATCAAGATATATACAACCTAGGAATTCATTAATTAAAATTTTATCGAATTAATTAATTAATTGTCTTCACAGTTGAAATATACTGAGGCTAAAGATGAGACTGTATAAAAGTAGTGTAAGACCAATATATATTTTCAAAGGAAATATATAAAAAATATTGTATGAACATATATATGAATTGGCAATACTTACCAACAAGATCTGCAGCATTCTTGCCGTTGCTAAATCTTCCAGTTGGTTTGTGGGTAGGAAAATCAATGCCATAGTGACGATGATTTGCCTTTGCAACGGAAAGTGGCAAGTAGTTGTTGTTTCCAACATCAACAAGTGAGTCTCCAAACACGTAAACAGCTGGAACCATCTGAGCCTTTGAGGAACCAAAGCTAAAGATGAGAGCATAGAGAATACTAATAGAGATCAACCCTCTGTTAACCATCTTGGTGACTTCAAATTGTTGTGGGTTTAGGGTGTGTGGAGGCACACAACTAGTGTTGGATTGATATGTATTTAAAGGATCACAAAGCTGGATCAACTTTACACGTGAAAAGAAGAAATTGATTTTATTTAATGCTAGAGTGAGAGATAGTGGAGCAAAGGTGTTATACTCTATAGATATTAACTTATGGTTATTCCTGTTGGAAGCAATAAAAAAACTAATTCACAAAGTTAGTTAATAATAACGGTATCATTTAATTACACTAATTTTATCTAAGAAAGTAATTTAATTCTTAAATTATACTTTCTTTAAAACTGGATATTAAAAATAAAAATCATCATTAAAAATAGATTTAATATATCAGTTGCTCAATGAACTTTTTTAAGAATTTTCATTTAGGACTTGTATAAGTTTATTTTTTTGTAATATAATCTCTGCGGATAGAAATTTGTCTATAATTCATGAAATTTACAAGATATTCTTGATATATATGGATAGAGTGTTTAAAATCAAACTAATCCAAACTAAAAATCACAAACCAAGCCAAAAAAATCGATAAAAATTCATAGAAAATCACAAATTAATGATTTATTTTAGTTTTTAAATTTTCAAAAGCTTACGATTTGGTTCTATTTTTAGATTAAAATATGAAACCATTTCAAAAATAAAACCGTACTTATTGTAAAATTTATTTTCAAATGCATAGTACACATGTATATAAAATTAATAATAACATAAAAGATGTTTAAATTATAAAATAAGTTTAGACCTAACTTAACTCCTACAAATTAATTTAGATTATAAAATGAGGGTTATTTTTCATTTATATACTTTTTAATTATTTTATTTTTAATCAATATAAAACTTAGATTTTTTTCAATACATACATTTAGTACTGTTAGAGTTGGCACATGGATAAATGATAAGTGACTTTTTTAATAATCTAGGATAGGTAAGATTTGGATTTTTTTATAATACATCCCCTCACATCCAACATTATTGGATTTGGTGCATGTATTAATGGTTGTAGGTCCTTTTAGAGTATATCTAGATAACTCAAGTCTACAAAATTGACTTATAAGGTAAGATTTATCTTCTACTTATATACTCTTTAATTGTCTCATCTTTAATCGATACGAGACTTGAATTTTCCCAATAAAATATTTTTATAAAATTATAAGTTACTAAACTAAATTTTATAATGAAAAATCATGAATTATTGATAAGGTTCGAAAGTAATTTTTTTAATTGACAAACTATGTATATGAAAAAAAAGTTTAGCATAATAACTAAAATTGCATCAAAGAAATATTTTTACTAAAATAATAATATAAAAACTGGTGTTAAATATATTAAGTGAATGAAGTATTTTAGCATTAATTTGTATACTTTTAGTTATATTTTTTTAACGTATAGTCTTAAACAAATAATACAATATTACATATTTTTAGTTATTTTTTTAAATAAAAAAATTTAAAAATTGTAAAAATTGAACCAAATCAAATCACAAAAGATTGATTTGGTTTGGCTCAAATTTTATAATCCATTTAAATTAAACTAAATTAAGTCAATCACACTTAATTATTTTGTTTGGTTTGAGTGGCTTTTAAAGTAAAAATCAAATCAAACTGCATTGTGAACATTTCTATATATGAATGATGACATTGAATAATAATCTAATATGGTTATCCAAATATGTAAATATTAAAAATATTTAGTAAAATTTCATGATTATAAATGAACTAGGGTGGATTACTAGTGTAATACACGGATTAAATAGAAAATAAAGTTATCTTTTAAATTTTAAAAAAAAAATTATGACAAAAATTCTAACTATAGACAAATTACAAAAGTATTAAATGATGAAGGATCTAATTATATATTTTTTTTTAATTTAGGAATCTGATTGAAAATTTTAAAAAAATTTAAACATTATATGATATATTAATTAAACCTTGAAAATACAATATTAATAAAATAAAGAGGTATTTTGAAAATGTTAACATTAAATAGGCAAATTTAATTGACTATAAGTAATAACATATTTTGGTGTCCATCCTAATATTGTTTAATAGTATGTAGATGCATGTATTCACTTGACACAAAATTTAATTCGTCGTGAAAATCATTTTGTTACATTAGAAATAATTCTATAACTTATTAATGATTTCTTTTAATTTTTATCTATACTTTTTTTTGTTATTCAAAAGTTTTCCTTCTTTTAAATTGAATGCATGCAACAATTAAATAAAAAAATTTCACAACTGATTTTTTTAAAAAAACTATTTTTTAATTTAAAAATATTATCAAAATATAAATCTATAAAAATTATTATAATTTCTTAAATTTTAATTAAATAACATAAAATATATATATTAAAAACTAGAAGCAACACCCATACATACATGTATAGATATAAATTTTAGTTTTTTATTTTATAATTTTAATATTATGTTTATTTTACAATATATTTTTACTATTTTAGAATGTAACAACTCATAATAGTTATTACAGTATTTGAAATTACTAACTAGCCATAAAACTACTACAAATACTTAAATATATATGCATGTTATATAACATACATATAAGAGTAAAATAACTATATAATATAATACAATATAAATAGTAAATTAATGTTAAATATACAACTTAAGTTGTCAGTCAAATCATACTTATATGAAAGTTTTATAAAAGTAACATCAAAATAACCAATTATATTTTCATCTATTTGATGGTCTCCTACTACATATCTCCTTTAACCTATCAAAATAATCTAGGCATATATATATATATATATATATATATATATGTGTGTGTGTGTGTGTGTGTGTGTGTGTGTGTGTGTGTGTATAGATATATGGTGAATTTTTTT